TCTATTAATACTTAATTAATTACTTATTATCCTTTTTTATAGTTTTATATTTTGTTATCAGAATCTAATTTATTCTAGTACCCAAATCAATTTTTAATACATTCTTATTGAGATATTTCCATTTCATTAATTATTATCTAAAATTTTTAAAAGGAATATATTACAGAAGATTATAATATAATTAATATCTTAGAAATAGTTTTTTTTAAATTTTGAGTTAAAAAGAAAAAGTTAATTAGTTACAATTAAATAGAATCTAATTTACTCCTAACAATTTCATTAATTTTTAATGACCTTTGCTTAATTGTTTTAGCTAACTTTCTTTCATTACCTAAAATAGTTTGGAGTTTTGTTATTTCTTCTTTATTACAAAATTCTATTAAAGCAGAATTTAAAGCTTTACTCTTTTGTGTAGGGAAATTCATAAATTGTTCTGGTTGTATTAACTCTTTTTGACAAAGACTTTTTTTCATTAAACTTAATGTTATTAGAATTATAGTTCTTCCATCTATTTTCTTTTGTCGGTATAATTCAAAACAAGAACTAAGAGTAACATAAATATCTTTAAAACATTCTTTAATACAGTTTTTTTCTTCCAAGCAATTACTAGGGGATTTTTTTTGTGAAGAGTTTAATAAATTAATACTTAAAGATAATTCTTTGGTTTGTAATTCATTAAAAGTGTTGTGAACTTTTTTAGGTTTTTTTTCTTTATTTTTTTCTACTTCAATTTCAAAAGATAAACTTTTTCTTGTTATTTGACTAGAGTGATTTCGTTTGAGTTGTGGTTCTGTTTGACTTTGAAAAAGGGTTTTTGGTACAAGAAATGAATAAAGTCCATTATTACTCGAATAAAAACAATTGTTGTTTTGATTCATCTCTAAATGTTTTTTAAATTTTTCTGTGTTAATGAAAATTTGTTTGCACATTAGACATTTATTTGAAATCCAAGAAGTAAGTGTATCTGAAATTTCTCTATTATTTGTACGAATTCCTAATTCTTGAAATGAATAAATTGGTGTATTTATTAGAAGTTGTGGATAAGGAATAAAATTAGTATTAAAGAAGATAATTGGATTTTGTTTATGACATAGTGGACATGTCATATCCTTATCAAAAAAACGTCTTTTAAATGAACAAAAACAACAAATAAAACTATGACCACATTCTCCAATAGCAATTGAATCAGTAATATTTTGACATAAAGTGCATTTCATAAGAATTAAACTCTTTTTAAAATTAATTTGTTTTAGTACATAAACTATATCTCTCTAATAGAAAATTCAAATAACATTTACTTTATCTCTTTGTTATATATTACAAAAATTTAATAAATAGTTATTTATCTTTTAAATTAAATTTTAGTAATAAAAAACATTTTTAAAAATGAAATAACCAATTGTTATGTTGAATAGAATCAATTATACATTAATTTCTTATTTTTGAGAATCTTTCATTGAAAGATACTTTTTTTATGAATGTGGTATTCTTGTATCAATTTTTTTTCATTACATTAACTTATCCAAATAAGTTTTTATTCTTCTTTTTTTTTTCATTATAAAATTCTTTTAATATCATAAACATAAAATATGTAATATAAAAATTCAATGTTATGTCAATAATACTTAAAGGTACAAAACTTTTAGTTATTAAATAATTAAAAAATATATCGTTATAAGACAAAAATAAATTATAACTTGAATGATTAAAACATTAACCTATCAATGATAACTATTTCATTAGTTGTAAATCAATCTTTAAACATAAAAAAAAAGAATTTATAATGTTCTATTAGTTATCTATTGGTATTTTTTCCTATAATATCGTCTTTTTATCATTATCTTCTTTCATGTTTTCTTTGTGTTTTAATAATAATTAGTCAAAACCACTTTAGACGACGTTATGTAAAGTCCAAGAATAAAATTAGAATATTAAAATTAAGTAAATAATAATCAATTACATCTTGATAGTAATGAACATCCATCTTCATTAAAGAATCCCACACTTTGTAATTTTTTAAGATTTATTTTAATAAAATCATTTGTGAAGTCAAGAATATTTTCTTTAGGATTAGATTTAAAGAATTTTGATTCTATTGGTCCTTTCAGATCAAGAACATTTAAAGATGCTAATAATTGTAATGCTTCTTTATCACCATTTTGTGCATAGTCAGTTACTTTTTTCTTCCATTCAGTTTCATTAACTAAAGTTATTTTCATATTTAATAATTGACAAATAGAAAATATATTTTCAGTTGAAACATTTGTTGTTGGAATCAAATTGATTATGGTCTTTTGGTTATACATATTATTAACAATACATTCTGCTAATTTATCGACAGGGGTCATTGGGAATGATGGACCAGTTAATCCTATATTATTTTTAATACTAAGACGAATCATTTTATAAATAAAATCGTCCGTGTTACATATTCCAGTATTTGAATCTGACACAACAAATGAAGGTCTCATTATATTAATTTTATATCCTTCTTCAATCCCCCTTTTACAGATTTGTTCTCCCATCCATTTAGATTGAACATACCCAAATGCATTTAATGGAATATTATCAGAAATACTTTCATCTTTATTAAGAGCTGCTCCAAGTGTAGATATTTGACAAATATTCATATCTTGACCTGCAAAATTAATTACATTTAATACACCAAATGCATTTGTTAATTTTAGTTGGTTATATGTTTTTGTCCAATTAACAATAGCAGCACAATTAATTAATATTTTACTCTTGCTTTTCATTTCTTTTTTCTTTGAATCTTCAATGCCAAAATCTTCTTTAGAAATATCACCAATAACCATTTCAATTTTATCATTCCATTCTTTTTCAGTTTTTCTCAACATTAATCTCATTTTCTTACTTAATTCATTCTTATTAGAACTTCTACCAACACAATACACTTTTTTAATATCACTCCTTTTGCAAAGTTCCAGTGTTATGTATAATCCAAGATACCCTGTTGCACCAGTTACAATGGCACTATCCCTTTTAATATTTTCATTACTTGGTTCTACAACTTTGTTAAATAATTCATGAATATTAGCTCGTTGAATCCAATTGAAGTCTTTAGTTAATTCTTCGTTTTCATTAGAACATAATACTGGATTAGAGACATAATCTTCAATATCACCAAGACTAACTTTTAATGATAATAAATTAAATGGTGCATTTGGTATATATTTTCTAACAATTGCTACTGTTTGTGCTCCAACAAAAGAGTCACCTCCTAAATCATAAAAATTACTCTTTCTTGATAATGCACCAACAGGAATATCAAAAAATTCACTCCAAATATTAGCTACCTCTTTTCCAACTTCTGTTATAGGAGGATCATTATTTTCTTGAATAAGTATTTCCCATCTCTTCTTAATTAAATCTTTTACTATTTCTTTTAATTTTGGAACATACACTTTACCAAAAGAAGTTCTTGGCATTTCTTGTAATTGAAAGATGTATGTTGGAATACTAAATGGAACTAATTTATCAGCTAAATACTCTTTCATTTCCATCTCTAAGTTAGTAAAAGAAGACCCACTTTTTACTATAACAAAGGCAACAAGTGTTTCTCCTTGAATCTTATCAGGAATACCAATCACAGCAGCTTCTTGAATTTTTGGATGAGCAACCATAATATCACATATTTCTGCTGGCCAAATATTATGTCCTCCTCTAATTATCATATCTTTGACTCTTCCAGTAATTCTTAAAAATTTATCAGCATCAAGAACAGCTTCATCTCCAGTTCTAAACCATCTATCTTTTGTGAATGCTTGTTTATTAGCTTCTGGATTATTTAAATATTCCTTTAATATAAATGGTGATTTTATTTCAAGTTCTCCTGCAATCCCAATAGGTAAAACCTCTCTTGTTTCATGGTCAACAACTCGAACTTCATAATTCTTAGTTAATACTGCACTATATCCTGTTGATTTTGCTGGCATTTTGTAAACAATACCACAAGTTTCTGTCATTCCAAACCCACTACAAGCATATTGTAAATTAAATACTTTTTTCACTGACTCAGTTAGTTCATTAGAAGCAATAGCCCCACCAAGAGTAACTTCTTTCAATGAACTTAAATTATATTTTGTCCTATTTGGATGCTTCATTAAAGCCATAAAAGCAGATGGAGCTCCACCTGTACTAGTGACATGGTTTTCTTCAATAATTTGGAATATTTTTTCAACATCAAACTTATCTAAAAAGATGTAATAACAACCTTTTGCTACTATAAATGAAACAATAATATGTCCTGTGGTTGTATATAGTGGAGCAAAACTCAATGACACTCTTTTTTCAGTTGGGAAAAAAGATTGATTAGAACAAACATTTCCAACAAATGCACGATTAGTATAAACACAAATTTTTGGTTCTCCAGTTGAACCTGATGTACATCCATAGAATAATACATCTTCAGAACTAATTTGTTTTCGTTGGTTATCAAGAAATTCTTTATTTAGAGGAACGTTTATTAAATCTTCATATGAATATACATTAATTCCTTGTGAAGAAAAATTAGTAATATCTTCTTTAGTTGAGTCTACAACAACAACTTTCATGGACTTATTAGCTTTAATAACATTTGGAACTAGTGCTTTTGTTGTAACAACCAATTTTACATCTGTTTTACAGAACAAACGTTCAAGTTGATCTGGTTTATATGCTGGATTAAGTGGTATCATAATAAAACCACAAGTCTCAATAGAAGCAGAAGAAATAATGAACTGAATACAATTAGGTAAATAAATACCAATGACATCTTTTCTTTGTAGATTAACTACAGAGTAAAATGCATATCCTAAACAATCTACTAAATGATGATATTCATATAGAGATAGTTCTACTATTTCGTTATTACAAACAGAGATATACTTTATTAATGGTTTGTCTGGTTCTTCAAGTAATTGGCAATATTTGTGTGCATAAACAGTAAAAGGAATGTTTTCATCAACTTCTGCTTTGAAATAAGATGTTTTGAGCATAACAATTAATATGTTATATGATTTTAAAGATAGACCTATTTAAATATTTACAGCACTAACTTGAATTATGACCAACTTAATTAATTAGCCACTTCTCTAACTATTATTATAGTTTTGAAATTTATTAAGAATTTTATCAATAAAACCTATTTTCTTCAAAAAAAGAAATTTCTCATTAATAACTCTTAAAGAAAATAAATTTCTTATATGCTCCTTATATGCACTTTATGCATTTCTTTATTTTTTCATAAAACCATACAATTTACGTATTTTACATCGTTTTTTTATAGTTTTATAGTTTTATTTTGTTTTTCAATAGTCTTAAACAAAAAATCGTTGTTTTACAGACAATAAATTCAAAAGATTTAAAAATATTTATAAAATGAAATAAAATTAATTTGATGAATAAATTATTTCAAATATCAGTCAAATTTACCACCAACCTAATAATTAGTAATATTATAGCATTTTCATTAAACAATAGTTATACTAATACATACTATTATATGTTGTATCAAATTTATGAATTATTTGACTTAAAAAAAAAACAAATTTATTTAATAATTTTGTAATTCATTAAATCAAAAACATTATATTTCTTATTATTTATAAAACGCATCACTTAATAGAAGAACATTTATACTATTATGAAGAATTAATGGATGTAGTAATTGTCACTGTAATAATATCACATCACAAGAGTTATGACTTGAAAAGAATTAAAAAATTAATGGAATTACTATTTTATTAAGCTAACAAATGTTGAAATTATACTAGAAAATATTTAATATGTAATACATATAAAACTTATCAAATAAATATTCATACATCATACTCATTGAATGAAAGAATGTCTAATTTTAAATGAACCAGAAATTATCTCTCTCCATATTATTAAATTATAAAATTCTTTTAACTTATTATTTATAAAGATAAAAAATAAATCTACGAATATTGTGTCTGTACGTTTAAGTCATTTAAAGATATTTTTGTTGTTTATGGCATTTGTGGTATAGTAGAAAAGATAGAGACGACCAGTACAATATAAATGCCAATGAAACCACAAACAAATAAGACATAGAGAATGGAAAAAACTAAAGAAATTCTAGCAAATACTTTAGCAAGTGAATCAGATGAATTTTTATAAATGCAATAACAAGCTATCCAAGTTAAACAAATAAAGAACCCTAAGATAAAAAGAATAGTTGCCCCTTGACAATCGTTATTTTCTTTCTTTGGTTGTTGCTCAGGGATAGATTGAACTAATGGTTGTGGTTGAATAAATGGTTGTGGTTGGATTAATGGTGGTGGTTGAATAAATGGTTGTGGTTGAACTGGGGTGTAATAAGGAACTTGTGGAAGCACAGTGTATTGGTTTGACATTAAGAAAAAAATAAGTTTCAGTGATGATTTTTAAAAAAAAAGAAAAAGGAATTATCTTTATAACTTTTTTTAAGAATTTGATTTTTCCTTTTTGTAATTTTATTTTGTCATAACTTCAATTCTTCAAATATCATTCATCTGTATTTCAAATATGAATAATGACTATTCTGTAAAACAATTGAAAAAAGATAGCCTTTCAAAGAAAACAAATGAAGAGAATGAAGGACCAAAGAAAACAATTGAGAGAGTTGAAGAATTAAAGAAAGAGAATGAAGAATTAAAGAAAGAGAATGAAGAATTACAACAACAATTATGTAAAGGTTATACTAATACGCTTAAAGAAAGTCCTGAAAGTTTTTGTTTTTTAAAACAGTATACACAATTAAAATCATTAAGCCTTATTGTTGAATATCAAAGAAATGATGAGATTACTGGTGAATTATTATTTAAAATTGTTAAAGATAAAAGAAATATTATGTTTGTTATTACCTCAACTTCTGGTAATGTTTTTGGCTCATTTCATTCAAAAATTCCACAAAAAATGAATAGTTATGTATTTAAAGATAAACATATGTTTGTGTTTTCATTAAAAAATTCAAACAAAACTGGAGAAGTTTGTTTTATCCCTCGAGAAACAAATCACCATCTTTTATTCTTTCCAAGAGAGAAAGATTCATTATTCTATATATTAGGTTGTTGGGATATTAAAACAAATGATTGTGTTATTGACTCAGTTAAGTATAGTGGAAAACACTTTTTTGACTGTTTTAATTCAGAACAATGTTTTGAATTTGAAAAAGAAAATCATTTTCAATTTGTTTATATCAGAGTGTATCAATGGAACAGCTAATCATTTGTTCTTCACTTTAACTATCAAAAAAAATTATTTAATTTTTAAAATAGTTCAATTAGTTTATTTTTTTAGCTGCTTGAATATTTTAATATGGCTTTTTTATTTGATATAATTCTTCAATTTCTTTTTTTTCTTCAATATACTTTTCTCTGAATCGTTCAAAACATTCATTAATCTGTTCTTTTTGTTGTTCTATAGATAAGTCATAATCTTCTATATCTAAATAATAGAACATCCTTTTATTAATGTTGATCCTTTGTTTTAAATCATTGTCTGTATCTTGACTATTACTAATTGTTACTTGTTCAGAGTCTGTGTTAATTGATTTAACTTGTTCTTTATCAAGTTCATCTGAAATATTCTTTGGTTCATTATCATCCAACTCTGTGGTAGGGAAGTAATAAGGTAAGAACTTCAAGTAAATATTGTAGTCTGTTAAGCTATAACAACAAAAAATAATTTTACCTTCCCATAATGGATTAACCTCTAACCAATTTCTTACTACTTCTAATACTACTGGGCATGCACTATTGTTGTTATAACCAAAGATTCCTGTTGAAATACATGGAAATGCAATACTTTTATATCCTTTTAATCTGACATATTCCAAACATCTAACATATACACTTTGTAATTGAATAGCATTCTCACCTATTGGTCCTACTCCATGTAGTATTTCTTTACATGGCATTTTAAATCCTGGACTTGGTTTAAAATCTCCTGTTTTACAGTATGTATAATGAGAACACAAATAATCATATAAGTCATAACCTGCTGCACAATGAATAGCTCCATCAACACCACCACCTCCTCTTAGGTATGAATTTGCTGCATTCACAACAACATCCACTTGGATTTTGGTAATATCTCCTGTTACTATTATTATTTTTTTATTCATTTCTTCTTTCTTTTCATATCCTGTAATCACTGGTTGATCTTTTCCTTTAATATCCCAAGTAATCAGCTCATCTATTTGTATATTCTTTTTAGTGTTACATTTACCATTGTTTTGATTATGTTGTGTTGTCTTTGACATTTCTTTTTTTTTTAAAAAGAATCATAAAAATAAAAGTTTTAAAAAGAAAAATCTTGAAATGATGTTTGTTAAAAATAATAAAATAGTCTAGTTAATATTAACTAAATTTGTTTCTATTAATCACATTTCTAAAATACCTATTATTTTATTCATTGATTATGTTTCTTGAATGATTTATTTCCAGATAAATCATTTTGTATAATTTTACAACCATTTTCTTTATCATTTAAGTTTATCCTTTTTATTAATATTTAGTTATTAACCATTTAAAAAAGAGATTCATTTCATGAGGTACTCCAAAGAATATAAAAACTAACAAAAAAAGAAAGAGAAATTTATATAAATCAACAAATATAATTGTTAGATAAATCTGTGAAATATGTATTATTTGTATTAACAGAAATACATTATTATTCACTTTATTCTTTATCAAATTAATATCTATTATCATGTCGTTTGTTTCATTAATGATATATTTCATTTAACTCGCATTTTCATTCATTTTCATTGTAATATGTATTTTATTCATTAATTCATTTAGAAACAAATAGTATGTCATATTTGAATTAAATATCATATTAATTTCATTGAAGAACAAAATATCAAAACATGGTTTTGTATGTAAACAAATATTTATACATGTATTAATTAAATTTTTCAATGTTTTTGATGCATTTGATTTTAATAATACTCATAAATGTATTA